TTCTATTTCATAATTCTGTCAAAATTCAGATACTTCTAACAACAATGAAAATTAGAATTTTCGTCATATAGTGAATGTGGTTGAACAACTGTTGTTGTAACTATTTACTTTGTATTTCTATATTTTGCACTTGTGCAAAGACTCTAAGACCCTCTGTGAAGTATGGTGTAAGTGATGATCTTCCTATATGTGAAATTCATCTGAAGCTGCAAGAACATAACAACATTTGAAATCAATGAAATGACTAATGTGTTCAAGTTACGCAAATGCCTATATTTGTAAATATGAAATAGCAAATTATGAATGAGGGCTGCATTACTGCATTAAATTTTATGTGCTTAAAACTCACATGATTTTAGGCCTTAGTGTTTAATTTCTGAAGTGTTTTCCAAGACCTTTACTTTTATGAATTTCTTGGACTATATAATATTTCTCATGGTTGTGATCTTCCAATTTTTCCATGTGACTTTGTGAAAAGGAAAGCTGTATTTGTTTAGGTCCCAGAGAGAAGACACAACCATAATAGGAGATACATTTTGAGGGAGAATTTTCATTTTTTGTGACAGTAGTCCTCTGTCTTTGCATGATTAAACATGCAATATTTCAGAAAATAAGACGCAGCTTGTCTCCCACTGCCATGAACTTTTGCTTGCTATGACTGCAGTCATAGCTATTTTTTCAGAGAATGAAGAACCTGATGTTTCAGGATTCTGATGCAGAAACCAGGCCTTCTAAAACATGGCTCCTCAGGTTTAGTTTGTTGGAAGTTTGAACTGCAAGGTCCTATCCAAGCCCAGATCTGTGTTTTTTTGATTTGGATGTAACTCTTTTTACAACTATTGCTCAATTTCAGTGCTGGTATTTCCCTTGGATTAATGACTAAATGATGAAGAAACGTGAAGACTCTCCATATGCCAGCCGCTACCATTAATTGCTTAGGAAATGTGACATTATTCCACCAACGCTGTTTAGTTGGACAACCCACATGGATGATGTTTAATTGGATAACCCATGTGGATGACCCAACATAAAACTCTGAAGCATACGTGGGCGGTCGTGGTGTGGGATGGTTGCAATTACCGTAAACTACACCAGAAATCTTGACAAAACACTGCACTCAGGATTTCCTCGTGAGAAGAAGCAAGGAAGTTTGCACTGCAGGGAAAGATTACATGGGAGAAGATGCCAAAATGTGGCATGGGGATCGGCCTTTTGACAGTTATAAAGTGAAACGTTCTCCATCTAGTAAAAAAAAAAATGTAACCTTCAACCTGCCAAGGGGCAGGAGCATGGCACAACCCTCCCGAACGTGTGACAGACGCACAAACTGAGGGACGCCACAAGAAGCAGCAGAAAGGAAGCTTGAAATGCTGTTGGGTGCATTTCTTTAATATAAATAACGTTTTCCGAAACCTCAGTTTCTTGATTCAGCATTTCTTTTGGCACTGAAATTATAGTAACAATTTAAAAGTAGGCTAAACAAGTCTGAGGGAATATTCTGGTAAGTTTAGGCCAGAGAGGGGGAAGTCCCTGCAAGTAATAATAAAAAAAAATAAGACCTCCTCCACCCCCAATAATTGCAGTTTAATTCTTTTAACGAGGAATATCTTAAAACACTTGACAAATGCATAATAATTACGATATCCTCACAGTGCCTTCTGAAGCACATGATCATGCTTATTTGCTGGATGAATAAACTGACCCAGTGTATCAAAATACTTTGACCAAGGCCTGCTCCAAAAACAATGGGAGACCAGAGAATACACTATTTAGCCTAGTTAAAAGAAAGTTGCAATGAGTATGGAGGAAGAAACTAAACTGAAAATTATATGAGGTAGATACTGTAGCCAACTGTTTCTTATTTTCCTTTGTTTTGAAAGGTCATAAGTTTGCTTAGCTCAGCTTGAGATAATAGTTAGTGGACATTCTGGGGGCTCAGCACTTTTGAAAAAAATGATGTCAGAAAGTTAACACAAAGCTTTTATCAGTATTTTTATTTTTTACTTTTTAAAAATATTTATTTCATATACAAATACTTTATATATATAATTTCTATCAGGAAATCGGTCACGTGGCCTCAGTAAGTCAATGACTGTCGGGCAGCCAGGGGACCAGAACTGTGTGTTAAATTTTGAATGTTTGTGCATGTCTGTTTCTGGGAACCCAACCCTGGATTTCTTCAGGATTAGGTTTTTCCCTGAGAGGTCACCGTCTGAAGCAGCTCCTGCTGCAAGGGAAATGGGTTACCGGGTGGGGAGGTCTTGCAGGACGCTTGGGCACCTGCTCAGTCCCAGAGAACTGGGCAAAGCCAGGTGGAGGGGGTGGGATCCGGATGGAGCACAGCCTGAGAGGCACCTGGAGGACTGCGGCATACGCGGAGCCGGGGAGGTGTTTCCACCAGGGAGCCCTGGCCATTATTCTGCTCTGAAGGATGGCTGTAGAAATTCACCCTTTCCTCAGCCAACTCACTGCCTGTGCGCCCTGGCAGACAGCGAGTGGCTGACCTGGGTTCCCCGCAGCTTCCCTCGAGGAGAAGAAGCACAGGCTAAGCTGTAACGGCAGAGTCCCTTGTCCCCCTGGTACCTTCAGGTTACTTACTCTGTACAAGATATCCTTCCCTTGTCAGAACTTCAAAACCATGGAAGGGCCAGACCTGGATCCTAAAATGATTTGGGAAAGGATCCTGGCATTTTAGAGTCGTTGAAGAGTATATGTTTCTGAATACAACACATCAGCTATAAAGGAAATATACTGTGTGTTTTACTGCGACATTTTCAGAATGTACGTCCCATTTGATGTGGAAAGTGGCTGAAGTCAGAGAGATAAAAGCTCCACGAGTTATGAAAGAAAGCAACACTTTTCAGTATTGAGAAGTGCCTGACTTTTAAAAAATTACACATTGATACTTTCCCCTGTGTTTTTCATTAACTTTTGAAGCCATAAGTTAATACATAAAATGCAATTGTAAAGGTCAGAGAATCTTATTAGCTCTACGTCAAACTCATAATGTCTTTTACAAGATTATCACATCTCTTGGAAAGTCCTGATTTAAAGACTTCATAATTTAAATATTTTATTCAGTTGTTTAAGTAGAGATGGGCTAGAAGCAAAACCCTAGCTCAAAACCTTAGCTCAAAACCTGCATGAATCTTGGGGACTCGCTGTTTCCAAGGGATGCTCCAGCTTTGTAGCTCAGTACCCAGAGGAACATGAATTAAAGCTACAGGTCTGAGCGCTCCTGCTCCCAACACTCTGAGTGGTCTGAGCTGCAACTGCATTTTGCTCTGATTTTTGGTTTATAGGCAGTACCACATGGCATGCATGTTCTGTGTTTGCAATATCTTGTCTCTAAATCTATATCCCCCCGCCCCAGCCATAAATAAAACCCCACATTTCTCATGGATTTTTCATTTTGGAAAAGATGCACAAATACCTATTAACAGCAGAGTGAATCATCATGGAATTTCCATTTCACCATAAAAGTGGTATTTCATTTGGGCCAGGGAAGAGTTCTCCATTTGGCCCTTTTTGCTCTGGCTTTACTGTAGTTTATTGAAATGACAAAATGAAACACTCTGATTTTGTTGAAATGCAACATTTATGTAATTTTGCAGTTACCTTTGAATCAAGTTGATAAATTCCTATAAAATTCTTCAATTTTGTGTAGTCAGCATTTTCCAAAAAGAGCATTTCCAGTGGGAAATTTTTAACACTAAGACGAAAGGCTTAAGTCAGCATTTAAGATGGACGTAATGGGGAAGTTCGTCTGGATCCTGTTACTCACCCATTTATCTATGGCAACTTCTGTTGCTGTGGAACTCCACTACAACCCAGGATGCTGCAGCATGAGCTGGGCAAGCATCTTTATGTTACAGAGGCGGTCAACAACAGCATTTGATCCAGTGATCCAATACCAGGCTGGGCCGAACTAAAGAGGGGAGAGGGTTTGTGGAGGTACTTCCTCGCAGCTGCCAAGAAGCAGTGATGCTCTCAACACCTCGGCTTGCCAGCTGAGGAGCAGGGCAACCAGCTGGTCAGCGTGGCAGTGGCTTTTCCAGGATTTGGTCACATAGCTGTCTCAGGGTCCATCACACCATGCTGAGCAAGGCTTGTTTCGCTAATGCAGCTATACTGCTCTCTTTGCTCCTGCTGATTTGTCCAGAGCTGGTTGAACCATCCCGGCATGGGCCTGACTGGTACCCAGCAGATGCGACCTGAGGCATCACTGAACATGTATTCATGTTGTCTTATTTGTCAAAATATTACCACTTAAAATGTAGCCTGTAAAGATGTTGAAAAGTGAGCTGAAAAATTAAAAATAAACGCACTAAACTGAAAACATAAGGCAGGTGTCAGTTATATGCAAACTTTATAATGAATTCTGGAAATATACTTTAAGAATGAGAACTACAAATGTTTCAAGTCCGGATGGCACATATGAAGGATCACTCGCATGTGCTCCATGATACTTGTCAGATCTGTAAGCACATTTATGCTGGTGAAATTTCATTTCTCACTCAATACACTGAGTGTAACAATGGGCAAGAGTCATTCTCTAAATTGTGTTTAACGGTTTCAAATGAGGGATGGATGAACTGGCTGCAGTAATTAAAACACTGAGCCTGAATCTGCATAGGCCATTCAAAGCAGACAGGAGCTCCAGAGGTTTGCGGACAACCAATTATCACTATTTTTTCTTTTAAATATATCTTGCTTTCCACATCTCATCAGCTGATGGCTGCATGTAGGACTGGAAGCAAAAGTGCTAGAGCTGAATTTGTTTGTTGTTTCTGGCACAAACCAGATCAGGAATTACTGCAAGATTTCCAACCTCATTTGCCAGACCAGAGGGGTCAGGATAAGTCTGCATTATTATAGGAACCCAACTTCTAACCCTTCCCCTTTTGCCCAGCGCCTTGCCTGCCACATGGCAGCACATGGCAAAAGCAATCAATGGCCTCAATTTGGTTATAATGTGTCTTTCTGCTTTTTTTCTTCAGAGCTTTGTCATCCGTGGTGGCTTTAGGAGCTAATATCATCTGCAACAAAATCCCAGGCCTGGCCCCTCGGCAGCGAGCGATCTGCCAGAGCCGCCCTGATGCCATCATTGTGATTGGGGAAGGGGCACAAATGGGAATCAATGAGTGCCAGTACCAGTTTCGGTATGGGAGGTGGAACTGCTCCGCGCTGGGGGAGAAAACAGTCTTTGGACAAGAGCTTCGAGTAGGTAAGGGTGTCTCTAATACGGTGCTGAAGTGATACATCGGGGTTGTTTTTCTTCTAGCTTTCTCACTGCAGTCCTGCAAAGGTTTATATCCCTCTGGCATTTGCCTGCTGGAGTTGAACGGTGATGCTCCCAGAACAGCTGTGGTCTGTATGTTTTCACTCAATGAAAAGCAACTGGCAAGAGCCAGGAGATTTCCAGTGTTCTCTAGATGAAGTCATTCATATCTGTGCAACTTCATACCCAGCAATGACCCAGATGCCTGCATGGGCATCCAAGGACACAGTCATCACACCCCATGAAAAAACATTTCCAATTGTCATCCTATTCAAGGTTACCATGATAACTGTGGTGCATATTACGGTCAATCAAAAACGGAACTAAGATCGGCTCCAAAAAACCCTCTGCAGACTTCCCAAAAGCTTAAGTAATGGGAGAATCCCAATTAACTGATGGAAGCACAGTGCATACAACATTGGCCTTCCCATATGCAGCAATTATACATATCCATTTTAGTGTTGCTATAATAATGTGAAGAAATAGTGCCAGTGATTTGAGGCAGCAAACCTATTCAAAGAAAATAATATAGGACCTTGGCCTGACAAACTGTTAGCTGGCAGAAGATAAATGATCACTTTCCATTTACCCTATGTCTGATATTATTTCATAGAGAAGATTATGCAATTTTTTTCCAGCACTCAGATCATTATTTTTCTCACCACCCAGCTCAGCGTTCCTGACCTTCCCTCTCTCCCCCAAGGGCTGCCCAGTACCTTCTCCTATGCTGTCTGCTGCTGAGTGTTGGGGTAACATTTTGAGGTGTGTGGCTCTCACATGGGTGCTCAGAGTGATACCATCCAGCTTCTCAGCGTGGTTGGAGCACGTTCTTTTTGTATTCGATTCTTCTTCGGGTGACACCTCTTTCTTGAATTCAGTGGTTTGGGTGAGTCTAGTGCTTGCAACACAATTGAATGTGGTCAGACAAAAGAACTCTTCAAAACTGTGCAAAGAAAAGGCACAACATTTCATCCTGTCTGTGCAAAAAGGAAACAAGTTACACGGTACTTTGGTTGTTACTGGGGATCAAGGCTTTGGGTTTTTTTTTTTCCAACACCCTTGTGAAAAAGATCCCAAAATCTGAGGTATGCTTCAGTCAATGATGGAATTGAACATTTTTTCAAAGAACGTGCAAGTCTGAGAGTCTGACAGAGGTCTGGGCTTCTTAAGGGCGCAGTGGCCCAGCTGTGGAGCGTTGCAATTGAATAAATCCATTGTCATCAGGTGAACGGACTTATTCTGTGAGCATCACTCCACACCAAATCACAGAAGTGAATATGGCTAAAACTCATAATAAAAAGACCCACAAAACAAAATTAATGGCAAAAAAAAAAAAATCTGAACTTTTTGAACTTCAGAAAAAAGTTTGGTAGAATTTGGTTTTGGTGCTGAAAATTTGGTGGTGAGGAATTTGCTTGTCAGCATCTGTTCCCACATTTGTCCTAAGATATTTCTAATTCTGTTCGGAGAACACTTCTTGCCTAACATTTGTTTCTTAAAAAGAGTGTAAGCTGAAGGCATTCAACACTCTTAAGACACCATACACAGAAAATAACCTCACATTTGACTTTTAACTTCAATTTAAAAAGTAACAGAAAAAATCCAGTCACTTTTGTCTTGACTATTAGAAGCACAGGTCTGGTCCTCCTTGTCTGGTCTTCTGCTTGTTTGTCTTAAGTTGATGTCCAAAACGATGTTGCTGCCAGAAAACACACAGCTGCGAAGCACGCTATCACTGTACTTCTTCCTGCTATGTGGTCTTGATCTGCCAAAGTTTGCAGGCATGCTCTGACCCTTAGATAACCTCTTAACTTCTGTGAGATCATTTACGTCCTTGAAGAGGCACACTCTGAAGGGTTGTACCAGAGTTGGTGTCATCACTAAGCAGTGAAGAGGCTTTCACCACTTCCGCTTTTCTCTTCAAGCTGAGAATCTTGTGACACCTCATCAGCTCCATCCTTGTACTCATGAGTAATATTCTTCTTCACCACAGAGAGACTTCTTTCATCCTCAGAAACCTTGCAAGTAAGCACAGTCCAAATGCCTAAAGAGGACTACAAGTCATGCTTGTGCTTTCATTCTGAACATTTCGGTACAAAATAAGAGCTACAGGGAAAAAAAATTGTTTGGTGTCAAGATGGACCAGCTATCAGTTTGGTCAGATTACACAAAGTTTGAGAAACCCAGGGTTTTCTCGAGCCACTGTTCAGGCCATATTTGCCAAAATCTGGTTCACCAGATTTTTGACCTCTTCACCAAACCTGGGTGGTTTCTTGCAGCTCTAGAATGACTGATGCGGAATTTGGTGGGTTCTTTTATGGCTTAACCCAGACACAGACTGAACTTGGCAGTTGCCGCTGAGTTCTGCTTTGACATTTGTTGGGTGTGAAACCACACAAACTGTAACGGATGGAGAAGGTTTACATGACCCCTGCCAGCTGAGCCAGAGGAGTTCCATGCAGGTCTATAAAGGATACCGTAATCCACATGTCTTTATTTGTTTTATAAGTGGAGTAGCGCTCAGAGACAATGTGGTCAGTATCTAGGAAAAGGACAGGGTTTAGAAAGTGGTGTTATTACACTGGCGAGGGAAAAAAATATAAGAAGGACAAAGCTAAAAAAAACCCACCCAAACTTTAAAGGTACAAAATACTTGTAATCATAAATATTCTCATGTGTAACAAAACACATCGGTGTCTGACACATACAGAAACACTAAACCAGACATTTTGGTTCTGCCTGAAGACACTGGAGAAAGGATTAAGACTAAAAAAGTCTGAAGTACTTAAGTACTTCACCCCAAAGGAAAGCTCATCCAGATTTTTCCCAGAATCACTTAGGGAGATGGACTATCAAGGCAAATTATTCTGGTCATAGGGAGGAGAGGGCGAGTAAGCTATGATAGCATGGTATTGATTGCTCTCTATCTGTATGGGAAAGAGAAGACCTACTCTTTAGCCACTGGGCCAAGGCTCTACCATGAGCACTGACAAGTGCAGATTTAGGGTTATTTTCATATCCCAGTGCAACACTCCGTCCCTCTAAATTCAAAGCAAACCCCCAGACTCACCCAACATGAGGTTCCTCCAACAGCTGTGCATCTGTTGCGAGCTGCGAGCACCACCTCTTGGGTGCCATTGCACTGCAACTATGCATGTCTTCCAGCCACAACCAAGCAGCAGCCAGAAGACATGATACAGCAGCAGATGTCCACCCTTGGGACTTCTGGGGATCCTACTGTGCCAGGGGAATCCCCAGTAAACTAGCTAAGCTGGGTTGGTCCTGAGCTCTACTTTCAAAGAGGCACTTCAGTGGATGAGGGATGTACCACCTATGTAATACAGGGGAGTCTGTATTAAAAACAGTTGAAATAGTTCGTTCAGAGACAACGGAAGTAATTATGTTAGACATGGGGCATTCATGTTGGTGTGAAAGATTGATAGCAGCCAGAGACGATAAGTGACAAGAGAGTTCCAAATGAGTAGCATGAACAAAGGATCTAGCATGGGATTAATTAGCCAAGCAGTGTGTCTAGCTTTTTTTGTCATATTTATAGCTAGGAATTTTTCCACAGTTATGCCATCGCCAAAGAAAAGTCACTACTACACTCACTTTGCTCATCCTATCCCTGTACATATTTATATTTGTCACCTTCATGCATTCATCCCTAGTTTTCATGCCAGCTTCTCATATAAAGTCATCTTTTGCACTCTCTACTCATTCCTCTTGCTAGAAGGCTCTTTGACAAATTACCTCTTTAAATATTGCCTCTGTAACAAATGAATTCACACATTAATTGGTCAATGAAGTATCAATTGATATTCTATGCTTGATAACCATTGTTGAAAGATAATTGTCATTCTAATTTGTTGAAGACAAGGACCCTGATCTGGAAGAGTATAGCCTATGGTCCTATCACGTTATTAATGCAAAAGAGCTCCAGCACTAAGTCTCTATTCCCCCAAAGCATGGTTGAAGCAATCTGTTATGTAGGTACCTCTGAAAGTCACAGATCATTAGTAACAGTTGGAAGCAATAAACTCCACGCAAAAGAGTGCTCAGTGCAGCCTCTGAAGTATGGAGGCAGAATCAATGACAGAAGTCAAACCTACCATTGTTCTTTGACAGTGGATTGTTGTGGCTAATTATTTGTGCGTTAACCATTTCCGCTGGAATTCTCCAAATCGAAGTGCTTATAAACAGACTGCTCTTACCCGTGCTAATTCCAGGGCCAAAATTAGGCGTTTTGCAAAATATAGCTGTCAAGAGATAAAAAGCAATCTGTTGACATCTCCTTTGTCAGACTCATGATGTGGAAAATGATCATGACTTAGTAGTATTCATTTGGCTGTATCATTGATACAGTGATTTTCCAACTCGTTGAACTGGACATCTGACAGGGAAGAATCAACAAATTGGCAAAGAGCAAGGGAGTTCTGAAGGTTTTTTTTTAAATTTGTGATCTTTTGTATTGATCTGTAGATTTCTGGCATGTTGAAAGGATGCACCTGAAATGAGGTTAAAGCCCTGCTTGCTGTGGGAGGTTTAGGAGAAGAACAACATCTTAAGAAGCTTCCTGTTGCCACACATTTGCTCAACTTTTGGTCCACGCTCCAGGCAGAAAGGGGGAGGGATGGGAGAGAAAACTACAGTTTTAAAGACTAAGAAAATGTGTGTATGGATTTTATTAACTCACAGGTGAAGATTTACAAGTTATTTTGAGAAACACTGTTGGAAAATAAATTTGAATGTCACTGTTATATGCAAGCATGCACTCATACACATACACATAAACTGCCAAGAAGACAGCATAATTTCAAACAAAAGATTAAGAAAGGGTGGGGAACATCTTCTGAAGGAAAGATACTTATAAAAAAAGTGATTCTTTCCATATTTGCTCTGGAAACAGGTAACTAAATTCACATTGGATCCCAGTGTTTTAGCTG